CCCAAATCTCCACACAGTTCCAAACAACTCTCCTTTGAAAGCTAGGTCATCGAGTCACTTGACTAATCATTCTTTAATTATGATACAACACACTGACGAGTACACAATACCCAAAAAGATTTCTTTCTGGTAATTGCGTTTAGGATAAAATTATAAATTGTTATAAAATACTACAGAGGTGAACAGATACAGCAAAAATTCCAATCAGGCCTCTAACCATACTGAGTTCCTGATTAATCTGCTTAGCGTGTGCTGAGAATGCAGAAATATAAAAAGGTTCTACAAAGATATTATAATTTCAGTGATAAAAATACGCCAGTCCCCGAGACTTCTGAAATGAAATGGTCTTTCCAATGACTTCTCAATACAATGACACTACAAAGAGTGCAACTGCCAAATCAATTCACAGCACCTATATCATCCAGTCAAAACTGCCATCTGTACTCAGTGTCTATCAAACCCAATTTGCCTAATGAATGGTTTTGGGATGCGGTGGGGGAGGGGAGATTTTGAAGCTTGTGAAATCCACATTGATACCATTGGGCTGCAGGGTTCCCAAGCGGAATATGAGTTGCTGTTCCTGCAACCTTCAGGTGGCATCGTTGTGGCACTGCAGGAGGCCCATGATGGACATGTCGTCTGAGGAATGGGAGGGGGTGTTGAAATGGTTCGCGACTGGGAGGTGCAGTTGTTTATTGCGAACCGAGCGCAGGTGTTCTGCAAAGCGGTCCCCGAGCCTCCGATTGGTTTCCCCAATGTAGAGGAGGCCACAACAGGAACAGCGGATACAGTATACCACATTGGCAGATGTGCAGGTGAACATCTGCTTGATGTGGAAAGTCTTCTTGGGGCCTGGGATGGGGGTGAGGGAGCAGGTGTAGCACTTCCTGCGGTTGCAGGGAAAAGTGCTGGGTGTGGTGGGGCTGGAGGGGAGCATGGAGCGGACAAGGGAGTCACGGAGAGAGTGGTCCCTCCGGAAAGCAGATAAGGGTGGGGAGGGAAAGATGTCTTTGGTGGTGGGGTCAGATTGCAGATGGCGGAAGTGTCGGAGGATGATGCGTTGGATCCGGAGGTTAGTGGGGTGGTACATGAGGACGAGGGGGATTCTTTTTTGGTTGTTATTGCGGGGACGGGGTGTGAGGGATGAGTTGCGGGAAATGTGGGAGACACAGTGGAGGGCGTTCTCGACCACTGAGGGGGGGAAATTGCGGTCATTGAAAAACGAGGACACCTGAGATATACGGGAGTGGAATGCCTCATCCTGGGAGCAGATGCGGCGGAGGCGAAGGAATTGGGAATAGGGAATGGCATTTTTGCAGGAAGGTGGGTGGGAGGAGGTATATTCTAGGTAGCTGTGGGAGTCGGTGGGCTTGAAATGGATATCGGTTTCTAGGTGGTTGCTCGAGATGGAGACAGAGGTCCAGGAAGGAGAGAGAGGTATTAGAGATGGTCCAGGTGAACTTCAGGTTGGGGTGGAAGGTGTTAGTGAAGTGGCTGAACTGTTCGAGCTCCTCGTGGGAGCACGAGGCGGCACCGATACAGTCATCAATGTAACAGAGGAACGGGTGGGGTTTAAGGCCAGCGTAGGTACGGAAGGGGGATTGTTCCACATAACCTACAAAGAGGTAGGCATAGCTTGGGCCCATGCGGGTACCCATGGCCAGCCCCTTTGACTGTAGGAAGTGGGAGGAATTGAAAGAGAAGTTGTTGAGGGTGAGGACAAGTTCGGCTAAGCCGATGAGGGTGTCAGTGGAGGGGGACTGGTTGGGCCTGCGGGACAGGAAGAAGCGGAGGGCCTTTAGGCCATCCGTATGGGGAATGCAGGTGTATAGGGACTGGACGTCCATAGTAAAGATGAGGTGTTGGGGACTGGGGAATTGGAAGTTCTGGAGGAGGTGGAGGGCGTGGGTGGTGTGGGAAAAATGTTTACGTCCATGACACCCTTGTCAGCTCCACACTCCCCTCCAGCCCCACCACATCCAGCACTTTTCCCTGCAACCGCAGGAAGTGCTACACCTGCGCCCACACCTCCTCCCTCACCCTCATCCCAGGCCCCAAGAAGACTTTCCACATCAAGCAGATGTTCACCTGCACATCTGCTAATGTGGTATACTGCATCCGCTGTACCCATTGTGGCCTCCTCTACAACGGGGAAACCCAGCGGAGGCTCGGGGACCACTTTGCAGAACACCTACGCTCAGTTCGCAATAAACAACTGCACCTCCCAGTCGCGAAGCATTTCAACTCCCCCTCCCATTCCTCAGACGACATGTCCATCCTGGGCCTCCTGCAGTGCCACAACGATGTCACCCGAAGGTTGCAGGAACAGCAACTCATATTCCGCTTGGGAACCCTGCAGCCCAATGGTATCAATGTGGATTTCACACGCTTCAAAATCTCCCCTCCCCCACCGCATCCCAAAACCAGCCCAGCTCGTCCCCGCCTCCCTAACTTGTTCTTCCTCCCACCTATCCCCTCCTCCCACCTCAAGCCGCTCCCTCATCTCCTACCTACTAACCTCATCCCGCCCCCTTGACCTGTCCGTCCTCCCTGGACTGACCTATTCCCTCCCTAACTCCCCACCTACACTCACCTTTACTGGCTCCATCCCCACCTCTTTGACCTGTCTGTTTCCTCTCCACCTATCTTCTCCTCTATCCATCTTCTATCTGCCTCCCCCTCTCTCCCTATTTATTTCAGAACCCCCTTCCCCTCCCCCATTTCTGATGAAGGGTCTAGGCCCGAAACGTCAGCCTTCCTTCTCCTATGATGCTGCTTGGCCTGCTGTGTTCATCCAGCTCTACACCTTGTTATCTCAGATTCTCCAGCATCTGCAGTTCCTACTATCTCTTGCCTAATGAATGAGCTTTTTTAAATATGCTATGATTTTTATTGAAAGAAAACAGGTGCTGGGATGTCAGTGCCGCTAGATAGGCCAACATGTATTGCCCATCCCTAATTAATCTTGAGAATCATAGAATTCCTACAGTGTGGAAGCAGGCCCTTTGGCCCAACAAGTCCACACTGACCCTAGGAGCACCCCACCCAGACTCATACCCCTATAACCCACCTAATCTACACATTCCAGAACACTATGAGGCAATTGAGCATGGCCAATCCACCTAAACTGCACATCTTTGGACTGTGGGAGGAAACTGGAGCATCCGGAGGAAATCCACGCAGACACGGGGAGAATGTGCAAACTCCACACAGACAGTTGCCCGAGGCTGGAATCGAACCCGGGTCCCTGGTGCTGTGAGGCAACCACTGAGTCACTGTGCCGCCCCAAGTAGAAGGTGGTGGTGAACCTCGTCTTGAACTGCTGCAGTCCTTGCAGTATGCAATACCTGGACTGTTGTTCAGATTGGATATGAGCAACTGTTCACACTTTCTCAAAGTCTATGTTAATCCTTGGAACATGTAAAATTCACGAGCAGCTTGAAAAAGGCTTCCGGGTTCTGACACAGTTATAGATTTAAATGATTTGTCTTAAGATTTGTGTTCTCTATTCCTTATCAAGCTTTGTGAGAAAACAAAACTAGTTTTCATTTTAGGGAATGCTCAAGGCTTAGCAAGGACATCAATGCCATCTTTGACTGCACCTCCACACCTTTGAATTAGCAGAGCCAATGCTGACCTGGCCTCAGATGAGGATGGGGATGGGGATGTATGTGATGGGAGAGCTGGCAAGTTAAAAGGTGCTGGTTGCATGTGTGGAGTTTCAGTTGGTTCAGTTCTCCTCTCACTGTTTCCTGTTTGAGATTGCCTGGCCTCTCTCACTGTCCTTCTCTCAATCTGAGCACACACAACCTTCTGACTGTCTCTACTGCACGGTTAGTACAGTTCAAACAGAAAGGGTTACAGTGGGTGGTGGGTGGTGGGTGAGGTCAGTATAGCCAGCAATCCCAGAACCTGCAATATCCATGAACCTGAGTCAGTTTGCTCATCTCTCAGTGTATGTATGTGTGTGTGTGCATGTGCGTGGAGTGCACATGTCTGCGTTTTGTTCCATGGAAAATGGGGAACCATTCTAATGAGAAAGGGAAAGTTTACATTTATGTCGCTCCTTACACAATCTTGAGGCATCCCACATTGTCTCAGTCAACAGGGATGTTCAAATTGTAGTCACCGCTGTAACTCTGAAAACAGTGCCCAACTCCTAGAACGTAGAACATAGAACAGTACAGCACAGTACAGGCCCTTCGGCCCACGATGCTGTGCCGACCTATTATTCTATGTATTATCCTGCACAGCAAGTTTACACAAACTGCAGGCAGAAAAGGATGGGATCATCTGTTTGCAGTTGGTGGTTGAGGAATAAATATTGAATAAAAACTGAAAAAGAATGCAGATCCTGGAAATCAGAAGCAAAAATAGAAATTACTGGAAAAGCTCAGCAGGTCTGGGAGGTTCTGTGAAGAGAAATCGTTTCGGGTCAAGTGACCCTTCCTTAGAATATTATCCAGGACACCAGGCTGCTCTCATGTACTGCTCTTCAGAATAATGTCATCAGATCTCTTCCAGATCCACAAGAGAGGGTAGGAGGAGATTTGATGTAACACCTCTTCCAACAGATGGCATCTCTAACAGTGAGGCACACCCTCAGGCGAGGATAGATTGTGTACTCAAGTCGCTGGGGTGAAGCGAGAAGCCATTTTCTCACTCTGTAATGAGCTAGTACCTTCACTTATACATTAAGCACTGAAAATGCTGTATCAGCACACTACAATGGACCCCCTTCTCCCATCCTCCCTGCCCATGGACCAAGGTAGGTATCCTCTGTGGACACTGGAAATCATAAAGTAGTGAGCTACTGTTTAGAGAGGGCAAGGTTAACATTAAATAAATCTTGGCAAGAGTCGTTTCAGCATCATCCTCAGTGTTCAAATCTATCTGATGGAAAGATCCAGGCTATTTTCTAAATGAAAGTGCAGCACAAGAGAGATAGCTCCTGCACAGTCAGATACCTCAAGGCAGAACTTAAATCTATCAATACTTACAGACATTTCTTTCATGGTAGTTTTGCCATAGTAATGAATGGGAGTACTTTGTTTCGTTAGTGGATATCCGAAGCCAGCAATATGGACCTCGTCGCAATAGTTCAGAGCCACGGTGATGGCTAGAAACCCTGTGGTGGGGTGCACTGGTTTCTGTGGATATAGAAAAAGACATTGAGGTGAGAGATTATGATCCTATGATCAAGAGGGTGACAGTATGCAACCAACGATACCAGCAGCATTCTCACTGGTCCCCAATTACTGCACTTTGCACTATATATTTTCAATATGGCAACTGAGTAATGGATCAGAGGTAACCGATTAAGATATTTTGCTAAATTGACTGAAAGACTATGTGACACAGTGAGCAATCCTTACACTCCTGAATAAACAGCTACATTTGCAGTCAGAATTCAGGAGCACAGAGACCTAAATGAGGTCTCTAAGCCCACGAAGAATTATGATAGGCCAAGAACAGGGAGGTTTTCCTGACTTGTGAGGGAGCCCAAGAGCACGGATCACAAACATGAGATAGCCATTAACAAAACTAATTGTGAATTTGAGACAAATTTATTTACCCACAGAATTTGGGATGCTCCTGGGGGCAGTAACACACGTGCAATTAAGGGAGAGCTGGAAACCATACATGAGGGGGAAAAGGACGCAAGAATATCTTGATAAGGTTGTGTAAAAATCACCAACGTCAACATTTATTCATTGGCACATATTCTCTCTGCTCCTCGGCAACAAGATCCAAACTGCGACAGGATTGAAATGAGGCCGACAGTCACATTTTTGGCACATCAAAGCTCTCACCTGCCTTTGAAACTAGATTTGTGATTAATCCCAGCAATCCAGTCTCTCCAAGACAGAGCCATTGGTTTACTGTTTGACCTATTTTTACTACAGTAGCCTGTCTGTGTAAACAAGGGTACAAACAATTAAAGAGGGCATTTCTGAGCTTTACAACTATGAGAGGAGGAATGTGCTGATAGTCAAGCTCCTTGACTCCACCAGTTGCACCTTTGGTATAAATGTGTTGGTTCATTCGGCAAAATGGCTCGTTGCTTCTCTCCTGTACTCCTAAGTACAATTTTTAAAAAAGCCTTTCTCCCAGCCTCTTTAATTTAAAAAAAACCAAGTCATGACAAGCAGCTTGTGTGTAGTGTAAACATCAGTGCAGAATAGCTGAATTTAAAGGCCTGTTTCGAGGCTATGAATTCTACGTAATTCCATGCAAACAATAACTTGCAAAGTTACACCATCAGAGCAGGAGGTCTGTGGTTGTGCCACTACCTCTGGGCCAGAACCCCGAGGTTCAAGTCTCACACCAGGTCTTGTGAGCCAAAGAAAGAGCACTCATAGCACAGCAAAACAGGTCCATGGTCAGTCTGTCAAACCTTCCAATCCTGCATGATAACAGGTGGTGAGAGCGGGACAGGCTTCTTGTCAGCCATGCTGCCAAGATAATGACCAAACCACTGCAGTGCTTTTCCCATGTATGGACATGCAGAATTCCATCGTCAAACACTCGGAACATGGAAAGGAGAAGAGACAGACACGCCAATACCTTGAGTGACCCTTGACCTGCTGAACAAAGAGCACTCACGCTGGCTACAAGCTAAATGCTTTATCTGGTGTCTTAAACCTTACCTCACAAAACAAACATGGCCTCAGTCACCCAACATGATAGGTGTTCCACTACTTTATACAGTCATAAAAGTAATACAGCATGGAAACAGGCCCTACAGCCCAAACTGACTCATGCTGACCATGGTGCCCACTCAGCCAGTTCCAATTGCCCACATTTGGTCCATTTCCCTCCAAACCCTTCCCACCCATGTACCTATCCAAATGTTTTTTAAATGTTGCTATTGTACCTGCCTCAAGCACTTTCTCCATCAGCCCATTCCCTTTTACGCACCACTCTCTGCGTGAAGAAGTTGCCCCTCAGGTCCTTCTTAAATCTATCCCTTCTCACCTTAAACCTATGCTGTCTGGTTTTCAATTCCCCAACCCTGGGAAAAAGACTATATGCATTCATCCTATCCATGCCCCTCATGATTTTATACACCTCAATAAGGTCACCCCGCATTCTCTTGTATTCCAAGGAATAAAGTCTGATCCTGGCCAACCCCTCCCTATAACTCAGGCCTACTAGCCCTGGAAACAACCTTGTAAATCTTCTTTGGACACTTTCCACTTTAACTATGTCCTTCCCATAACAGGGTGACCAAAACTGTCCACAATACTGGCCTCACCAATGACTCTTGCAACTGTAACATAACATCCCAAGTCCTATACTCAATGCCTCGAAGGAACCTCTCTCTTTCCACATTCCCCAGAGATGTCCGCTGACCTGCTGAGCAGTTTTCTAATATTCCCCCAGCTGCTCCTGCTCAGCCCCTGGTTCTTCCCTCCAGCTTCATTCCCCCTCCTCCACCTCCACCTCCACCTCCACCTCCACCTCCACCCGGCATATCCTTGATAATTTTCAACAAGACCCTGTGCAAACTGCTTTCAGCTGGATGCAAAGGTATTACCGTGAGGGGACGCCAGTTTGCAGCTGGTATGCAGGAATTATTTAGATTGTCTTAAGTGAGGGAACCACACAGAAGAAATGTAGCTGAATTACCACAAAAATAAAACCAAAAAAAAAAAGCAAAATCACTTCCTTAAATAACTTGGTTCAGATAGTGAGGTGGTTAAATGCAACTTAGAGTCATACAGCATGGAAACAGACCCTACGGTCCAACTCGTCCATGCCAACCAGGTTTCCCAGCTTAAACTAGTCCCATGCCTGCTTTTGGCCAATATCTCTCTAAACCTTTCCTATCCATGTACCTGTCCAAATATCTTTTAAATGTTGTAACTGTACCTGCATCTACCACTTCCTCTGGCAGTTTATTCCACATGCGAACACCCTTTGTGTGAAAACATTGCCTCTCAGGTCCCTTTTAAATCTTTCACCTCTCAACTTAATATTTTGCCCTCTAGTTTGGAACTTCCTCACCCCAGGGGAAAAAAACCTTTGCTATTCACCTTATCTATGCCCCCCATGATTTGAAAAACCTCAGTAAGGTCACCCCTCAACCTCCGACACTTGAAGGAAAAGTCATCCAAGCCTATCCAACCTCTCCTTACAACTCAAAACTTCCAATCCCAGCAATATCCTGGTAAATCTTTTCTGAACTCTCTCCAGTTTAATAATATCTTTCCTATGGCAGGGCGACCAGAACTGTACACGGTACCCTAAAAATGGTGTCCCCAATGTCCTGTCTGTTCAAGCAACAAACGCTCAAAGAACACAGGAAAGCTTTCTACATTCTTCTTCCACTTGTCTGCCTTCAAAAAGAGCAGCCTCCTCCTATCCATCAGGGTTTTGATTTCCCCATTACCTTCAGCAGTCATGCTATTGTCCTCCCTAAAGGAATGTGCCAATTTAATGCTAAGGGCGACACGGTGGCTCAGTGGTTAGCACTGCTGTCAGGGACCCGGGTTCGATTCCACCCTCGGGCAACTGTCTGTGTGGAGTTTGCACATTCTCCCCGTGCCTGCGTGGGGGTTTCCTCAGGGTGTTCCAGTTTCCTTCCACAGTCCAAAGACGTGCGGGTTAGGTTGATTGGCCATGCTAAATTGCCCATGTTATCCATGGGTGTATAAATTAGGTGGATTAGCATATGGGAAATGTTGGGTTACAGGGATGGCTCTGGGTGGGATGCTCTTTGGAGGGTCGGTGTGGACTTGTTGGGCTAAATGGCCTGTTTCCACACTGTGTGGTGGTGGTGGTGGTGGTGGTGATGGTGGTGGTGATGGTGGTATGATGAATTAAATTAAATTAAACTGAAATTAAAAGGGGAGAGGAGAGGTTTACCTACAGTGACAATTTGAACAAATCAATGACTTGGGCTTGTAGAATCCTGAGAGACAGAGCAAAACATCTCAAGGCACTTCAGGGGAAAATTATCAGACAAAAATCTTACAACATGAAGAGATTCAAGGGCTGTTGACGAAAAACTTAGTCAATGAAAAACAAAGTCAAAGGTGCATCTGAAAAGGAGGAGGAAAGCAAAGAGGCTTAGGAGTTCCAAACTCTACAAAAAACCAACACAGGAAGCAGATTTCCACCTACTGCCTCAGAATATGAATCGAAAGAATCCCTACAGTGTGGAAACAGGCCATTTGGCCTCAACAAGTCCACACCGCCCCTCCGAAGAGCATCCCACACAGACCCATTTCCCTAATTTCCCATGTCAAACCCACCGAACCAAAACATCCCTGAACACTATGGGTAATTTAGCATGGCCAACCCATCTACCCTGCAATCTTTGGACTGTGGGAGGAAACCGGAGCACCCGGAGGAAACCCACGCAGACACAGGGAGAATGTGCAAACTCCACACAGACAGTCGCCCGAAGCTGGAATCGAACATGGGTCCATGGTGCTGTGAGGCAGCAGTGCTAACCACTGAGCCACCGTGAACAGATGCATTTCCCCATGATGGAGGTGAAAGGTCCACGTACCTTGGTTGAAGGTAAGCACCAGCGAGAACTGGTTAAACCATAGGGATTGTCTCTGTGCAAACTGTGTGTTAACCCAGGTCCTAGAAGCTAAAAGGACAATGAGTGGTTTACGAACAGCACTTCAAACTCATCAATTGGAAATCAATGCCCGTACCTGCTTTGACTTGGGAGGCAGCTTCAGAGGGATGTTCAATAACTTGGTGGCGGCTTGATGGATGTAATAAGGATTAAGGATCCGGATATTAGAAGGATTTGCTTCCCAAATCAAGGGAGGAGCCCTCCAAAATCCTTTCCTAAACTAAAACAAAAAGAATTAATGCTAGGTGCTAGTTTAGGGTGAAGAGTTGGAGGAACGTTAATTGTTGACACGCTGATGTTGATGAGTTAAGGAAGTGGAAGTCAACGAAATGTTGCAAGGTGCTTTTGGGTAGAGCTACAAGGGAAAACATGTTTAAGCACTAAGTCAGTGTGGGCCATCAGAGCTGTGCACTGAAACATGGCACCAAGAGACCAGTCAGCCCTTCTAACCCGTTTTACCATTCAGTTGGATCATGTCGAATCTATAACTTACCTCCATTTGCCTGCCTTAGATCCAAATTAGAGGCAGCCACAGTTACTGGGCAAGAAACAAGCTGCTAATCTGCCTCTTATGTCTGTGCTCCAGTTTTGACTGCAAATATTTTTTTAATATTAACTAATATTTTGACTTCTTCAACAACCACCTATCGTGGTGCTTTCTGCTTAAAAAGGAAGAATTAATGCTCATTGCTCGCCCATTCTTCTCTCTGTTCCTCGGTTTTGTGGGGTTTGGTTAACCAGCAGAAGATAGGATACAGCTTAAACACACAAAGTTTGTTTGGAACCTGAAACTCAGTTTCCCTCAGTGCGTGGAATATGGGTCTGGAAAGGTTAAAACCATTAAACCATTATGGCAGCATAAACATCAGCCATTAAGACAGAGTCATACTGCCTACAGGTCTGAACAGCTAAGGATCTGGATAGAGTGGGACCTAACAACTAGTCCTCCTCCAAGTCTCTGCAATAGTGTACAGTGCAAGAGTCACCAACATGCAATAAACTGTACCTTGTTAGCTACAAGGGACTCTTTTACTTGGACTGTGGAGTGGTTTACATTGATCATATTAAACCAAACAGGTCTTGGAGTTTCTTAACAAAGGAAGGTGGTAGCAACATTCGTCACGGACTAGCAGCTCACACAACGCAGTGAGCTGACATAAGTACGCACCATCCAGTCTTCCAACTGACTGCAAGCTAAATAAAATCCGAAAGAACTGCAGATGCTGTAAATCAGGAACAAAAACAGAAGTTGCTGGAAAAGCTCAGCAGTTCTGGCAGTATCTGTGAAGGAAAAAACAGAGTTAATGTTTTGAGTCCAGTAACCCTTTCTCAGTGTGTGTGTGTTGTGACCGCAAGCTAAGCTAGAGCAAAGACAGAAGAACAGGGATCAAATGCACTGTTCCCCACGAGCTTCTGTTAATTCTGGTGTTCATGCTGTGGTTGGCTCTACCTCTGAACAACCCTCAGGGGACTTTCCTGCGATGGGGTGCAAATAAGACGAGGAGTCTGACAGTTGTGTGGGGAATCCAGAGCAAATGGTTAACGGTGAAATTTTACAGAACTCCGATATTTTGTTTCTTTTTGTTCATGGGATATGGGCGCTGCTGCCAGGGCACTCCTAAAAGAACTGGAGAAGGTGGGCACGTGCTGCCTTCTTGAGCTGCTGTACTCCAACAATGCACAGTGCTGCAAGAAGGGAATTCAAGGAACAGCAATGTAGTTGCAAGTCAGGATGGTGCATGGTTTGCAAAAGAAAGCCTGTAGGTGGCGGTGTTGTCATGCTTCCTCTAATATCTTAACCCTTACCTTGCAAGGCAAACAAACAGTTTCAGTCAAAGATAGTAGGAACTGCCGAT